ATATATATATATTACTATACTTTCTGCTTTCTTCAAATGATTTAGTGATAAATACTACAATTTTTTGCCTTTGATCCCTTTACATCCTCTTTATTGTCAGAAAGATAAATTATTTATTATTGTCATTAGGATCATTATTGTTTACATATCTTTTACTGTCTTTGTTGAGTCTAGTGATTTGGTAGGTTTTTGGAGGGTTGTTCCCAACTTCACTAGCACTACCCCTAAATATAAAGGAGGGGGGGATTCTTGAAGAGGGAAGAATAAGAAATATCCGAGCATATATCTGTATTTGTGACAAATGAATCATAGAGGCTACTGCTTGTGTGGCTGATGTTCACCAAAAGTTTGTCAATTTGATTCAAAATAAATTGTAACACATTGTAGACCTAATGGCTGAAAAATCATCAATTCCTTCGTTAATATTGTCTCAGAAATTCTACACAGCATCTGTAAACATGATCGAACATGACTTCAAAATCTGAAATGTCTCCATAGTAAGGATCGTGAATTATCAGCTCTCCTTTAGGATCATATGTTCCAAACAGTTTTACCTCCGCTCGCGCAGTTCCATCGGTTGGCTTAAAAGTTTCATTCAGATCATGTACATTGCTGTCATCAAAGGCCAGTATTACATCGAAACGACGAAAATCATCTTCGTGAACTTGCCTTGCTCGGTGATTATTCACGATTCCATGTTTCTTCAATACTTGCAACCCTCGCTTGTCTGAGCGAAGTCCTTCGTGGAGATCAAGAATTCCAGCGCTGTCGATCTCCCATTCATTTCTATCGTCGCGTTCCTGTACAAGGTGTCTAAAGATTGCTTCAGCGGATGGAGAACGACAAATATTCCCGAGGCAAACGAACAGGATTTTGCGATTTTTGTTAGAATCCGCCATCTTAGATTGGAAGCCTCCCCAATCATTTATGCGTCTTCGAGTGTAACTTCGTATGTAAGCCGCTGACCAAGAACAATACTGGTTAATCCAAGATGGCGGCCCAGGCCGCCTCGAGTATGAGTGAAATATCTTCATCTGCAAACGGTTCTGATGCAACCAAGCGGCCTGGAACACCGCAGATAACACCATCAGAGCTCAGCCGTCCAGCTAATTTACAAAGAATTGCCCAGAGGAAAGCGCAAATAAAGACTTATCCGATCAGAAAAAAGCTAGAGAAACTGGGTGTATATTCCTCATGTAAAGTAAGTATGTCGCAAAGGAAGAAATCAAATTAGTTTTTTATACCAGTAATTGTTTAATATTTTTTGTGAAAGGGTTTTCATAATTATTTTCCGTACTGGATCCTCGAATTTTTAAGAAATCGCTGTCCAAATACGGCCTCATTGTTGGTCGATCGCAGTGTTGTTATTGTTACTTGAAAGATGCACTGTGATTGGTCCAAAACGTCGTGTACTTTGTAAGATATTCTTAAGTTCTTCTCGTGACCAATCTGCCAAAAGTTCTAAATGAAGAAGTGCTCAAAACATATTTCACCATGATCTTGGTGTTCTATGGGTGAGGAATAAGTGATCAAGGTTTTTTTTCTTTGTAATTTACCATTTATATCTTAACCCAGAAGTGATTGACATGAAACTTCAGCCTTTGAAATTCATACATTATCCAGCAAACGGGTAACAAGAAAACTCAAATTTATCAGCTAGAAGTTATTATCTTGATCTAATATCAACTTCTTGTAACTAATTTACAAGGAAATGTGCAACAGCCAGAAAGGAGAATTAACAATCAGATCTTGGGAGTTCAAGGGTTGAAATATTTTATATCCAACCCAAGAGGTGTTTCAAGCATCATGCCATTGAAGAATTTTAAGTTCTAAATGCTACTGAACATCTGAAGACCCTTCAACCTTTAAAATTTCATTTGTCAACATTTTGTTGTAACTTAGCATAGAGAATTTAATGATTATCAAGATTTTATCAATTTATTTACTTAATTACCGGATGTTCTATTATTTGACAGGGAATACATTTCTTGTTAATTGTCTTGGAAAGGTAGAGAGTGAATCAAATGTAAAATTAGCAGTTAGCTTTATTTACTTTCTGACATTATTTTCAGGCTGAAGATTCTTGTAAATGTAATGGATGGAAGAATCCTAACCCACCACCAACACCTACCAGAGTGGATCTTTCTCAACCTCTCGCAAACCAAACAGACCCATGTCGGAGCTGTGGCCACACCTTAGGAGCACACATCTCTCATTTACATGACATTCCAGAAGATGAGCTTAACCGACTTCTCTGCATGGTCATTGATGTTGAGAACTTATTTATGTGCGTACATAAGGAGGAAGATGCTGATACCAAACAAGTTTACTTTTACCTATTTAAAATTCTGAGAAAGGGAATTCTGCAGATGTCGAATGTAACAGTGGAAGGCCCTCTTGGTACACCTCCATTTGAGAAGCCAAGCATTGGCAAGGTACTTCTTTTTTATTAGGGAGTTTAACCCTTTAACTCCCGTCAGTGACCAAGACAGAATTTCTCCTTACTATACCTATACAATATCATGCAGACAAGTGATTAGAATGAAGAAAAATATCAATTATGGGATGCTTATTGATCCAATACCAAATTCTCCAAACTAACATAATATGAATCATTTGGCAGACAGTAAGGAGAATTACTTCTGAGATCTTGGGAATTAAAGGGTTAAGAAAACCATGACGGTAATAAGAATGTCACTAGACAAAAGGTTAAATGTGCAGAACAATGGCTGTGCATGTGTATTTACTTACAAATTTTTGTAAATTTCTTGGCATCCTCTGCAAAACAACAGCGTGAAATGACCCAATTTTGTGTTGCCAGGAGAACATGAATGATGCAGTCAATATTTTAAATTTCTATTTTTAATAAATGACTTTAGAGTATTGCAAGATTCATAGGTAAAATATAAGTTCATTTTTTAACAGACATTGTCCATGGCATTGCCACTGTCATTTCTTAAACTCCCTGTTTGGCAGCTCTCTTAAAGTCATGATATTATGAAGAAAAAGGAAGTTTTGTTCCTATGTCTATCTCTTTGTCCTCACATTGCTAAAACTGGCTAGTGTCTGTTCAGTTGTAGCTCACAAAAGGTATTGAAATAAAGAAAAACTATGAAAAAACATGTCCTGCACCTCGTCAGTAATGTAAAAATGAACAGTTAAGAGTTTTTCCCTTTTTATTGCATCATTGTCATAACCTGAGACAGAAGAAGACAACAGATAGCAAACTGGTTTGAAGAATTTGTGTGTTTGATGTTCATTTAAATCTACAGGCTGTCCTTAACTTTGTGCTATACAAGTTTGGTCACCTTCCACAAAGGGAGTGGCAGATAATGCATGATCTAGCTAAGATGTTTTTACATTGCTTAAATCACTGGAAGCTTGAGACACCAACTGTAAAGAAACAGCACTCCCAGGGTGAAGAACTTGCAGCATATAAAGCCAATTACACAAGGTGGGTACACAGGAAACTCAATAATTGCTATCTCATAACTGTTTTGCTGTAAATATTTCACCACTTGGAACAAGACACACAGTACATTATTTCAATGGGTCACTATTTAGACTTAAACGTAACAACATAACAAGAAATTTATATCTCCAAGAAGATAAAAATACCATAAATTTGCTAGTTCCTAAAATTTCAAAGCGAGAATGCATCACATTGTGGCATACAAAGGTGCACTGGTTGCATGATTTTTCATTGCTTTAAGGGTATTTAAACTTTTTGATTTTTCAGAGAGAGCAAAGGGTGATATAATTTTATGTTATAATTTTTAATGATGGTTCATCAAAAGTCTGCTTTAGGAAGAAAAATAATTCTAAAAGTATAAAATTTTACAACTGTAGGCTGATTCTCCAGTTATGTTTATGGTCAGTGGGTCTTAAGTAACCACGAAATTAAGCATGAATAAGATTGTAAGAAGATGATGAGTGTCAAAGAAATGAATGGTTTAATGATGGATGATTGCTTGAGTGGGTAAATGTGCGTCGCTTTTACTAACAGTCTCTTGCAGTTTTTCTACTTCTGATTGAATTGAAAGGAATTATACATCCCATGCTCCAAGATTAAAAGTGAACAATTTGATATAAAAAGCTCAAGAAATCTGTACATTTAACGTATATCCCATAGATGGCTATGCTACTGCCAAGTTCCTGTGTTCTGTGACAGTTTAAAGAAATATGATCCCACTGCTGTGTTTGGAAGGACACTATTAAGATCAGTGTTCTCAGTCATGAGAAGACAGCTCTTGGAGAAATTCAGAGCAGAAAAAGAGAAAATGCCGCCTGATAAGAGAACTATTGTCTTGACTCACTTCCCAAGGTATTAGACATTTAATGATGGAAGTTGTAGACACTAAGTGTGGATTATCTTTAACTTAAGCTGTTGATCCTTGAACACTAAAAATCTGGCTTTAAGTATGAAGTTCTCCCTTCCGGTTAAAATACAATTTCCTGTTAATTATAACCCTTTAACTCCTAAAAGTTACAAAAATCTGATTTCTCCATGCATTGTCCAACTGAATCAAACTTTTAGGTCATGAGGGTGAAAGAAATTATTGGCAGCTAAAGAAGCTCTTGATTTTGAAGTGAATTCTTCAATGTTTTTTACCATTGGATTTGTTCACAGAACAATCTGGAGAATATGTACACTAATGCTAGGGCTTCAGTGGTTAATTAGATTATTTTGTTTCACATCAAAATGTTACTTTCCTGCTGATACATTTTTTTGTTTTCATAACCTTTTTGCAGGATAATCTTTTGATATTATAGGATAAATTTACATATAAATCACTTTTTAGAGCTAATGGTTAAGGAATACTAAAATAATTAATAACTGAAGGTCAAGGCTGGCCTTAGTTGTGTTGAATTCCTCTTGGGCTGTAACTTGGCCACTGACTTAAGTGCACAATTGTTCACTCTTTCACTCACTTGAGTGACCAAGATAGAATTTCTCCTTACAATGTCAATACAATACCAAGCAGGCAAGTGATGAGAATAAAGAAAGATATCAATTGGGAGATTATTAGTTGATCCAGTACCAAATTGTCAGAACTTGCATCATGAAAATTGTATGGCTGACACTAAGGAAAACTACAAATAAGATCTTGGAAGTGAAAGAATTTATGATTTTTACACATTATTTCATCTTTGCAAATTTCATATCCTTCAGATTTCTGTCAATGTTAGAAGAAGAAGTGTATGGTGAGAACTCTCCTGTATGGGATGATGACTTCACTGTTCCCCAGTCGCTGTCTCTAGGTCCATCAAGACTTGTTTCTCCTTTGACTCCATTAACAGATAAAGGGGATTCCTTGGTAGCTACAGCTAGGTATGTTAAATTGCTCTATCACAATGATTGCTCCTTAATCCACTTTAAGCAATGAGTGCTGACAGAAGATTAAACGTGGGTTCCTGTAACATTATCTTGAGGGCTAATCCCGCTTTGTCCTTGCAGTGTGTTAAATCAGCACTTGCTGAGTACTGTTCCCCTTTCTAAATGAGACCATGAAGGCTCATGTTGCCATTCTGTTGGCATTTAATTCCCTAGATTAAAGGACAAACACCCTAACAAAATCCTGTGCTGCGAAAAATGATCACTTTGCTGGCCTCTCATCAGTATACCCTGTACTGCCCCTTGTATGAAGTGCCCCAGTGTACAAACCATGAGGCCCTGTATCTTCCAGCATTGTCAATGTAGCTTCAAAGCTGTCAAATTTGTGTTATTACAGAATATAGTAACGTTATGTTAATTAAGAAGATGACTGACAATTATTATATTTTTTGTATCTTTTCTTCTTGTAGCTCTGCAGTTGGCTCAAGTTTATCTTCAATGTCATCCATGCTTCAACTGTCCAGTTCTACCTCACCAACAGAAGGTAATGCTATCCACTGAATAAATCTCTATACATTGGATATCTCAGTATGTTTTGTTACCTCTTATCTGCTGGAAGCAATTTATCCTTTGTATAGCATTATCCACCCTTTAAACATCTGGGCCCTATCTTTTAGGTAATTTG